AATTATAATCATGTAAACATAGGTTAATTTTTTAAAATAGAAGTCTAATATCTTATAAAGTGTTATTTTTCTCTCTCACTTTTCTCCTCAAACTCTAATATATATTAGAGTTTATTGTTCAAATGAGTTAAGTCGATCCATAAAAAATATAAGATTAATGACTCTCCACAGAACACAATTTTTTAAAAACATATTAAAAGTAAAATGTTTGAATCTTACATCGTTTAAATACAAATATAATCGCAGCCATATAAACATATTAGACCACCTTACTTAAACAAGTTAACATTTTAAACATAAAAGCTTAATACTTTATAAAGTGATTCTTCTTTCACTTCTCTTCTCAAACTTTAACTCTATATTTATTTTATTGATTTGAGTTTAAAATTTAAATTTTATTACAGTAAAATATTCTTACATAAATTTATATTTAAATTCAAATTAAAAATTTTAATCAACGAATTAAACAGATATTAATACTTTATTTTTTTGCCCATTTCAGCCAAAATAAAAATCTTCCGACCCAAGACGTTATTTTCAAGTTCCGAGATATATGGGTTTGGAAGAACAAACATAAATGTAAGTCAAAAAAAAAAAAAAAAAAAAAAAAAAAAAAAAAAAAACAGAGAGAGAAGACAAGAAAAATTCCGTAAATGTTGAAAAATGAAGTGGAATAGCAAATGATTCTTCCTTACCGTTACCGCCAGAGGGTCAAGCAGAAGACGGAAGAGTAGTACACAACAGAGAAGGCGTGAAGAGCAAGCAAATGGGTTTGCTTTTGCTTTATTAGTATTTAGCTAGGAGTTGTTGGTTTTCTGTTTGTTAATTGCCGGAAATCAAGTACATGGTCGCAGGTCTATACTTGTGTGTCTGAAAATCAAGTACCGTCCTTTTTATTTCATGAAATTGCATTTTTCTCCCTACTAATGATGTATTTTAATTATTAGTTTCGAGAGTGTTTAATAGGAGGAAGAAATAGAGGGATAAAGAAGAGTGGAGGGAGAAATATATATTTGTCTTATGCTATTTTGGTTATTTAGATCTCATTTATTTTGTAGATTTGAGTTTTTAATTCGAATTGAGATGTGATGGGCCCGTTTGTTTGCGTTTTCATTTTCGTTTTTCACGGTTTTTAAAGCAAAAAAATGAAAACGGGTGTTAAAAACGTGTTTGGTGCAATTTTTTTTAAAAAACAAAACCAAAAACGTTTTTGTCTTTTTGTGGAAATCAGAAAACGAAAAAAATGTGTTTTCATTTTCTCGTTTTCGTTTTCTGTTTTCTGAAAAATGGATTTCACTTTTTTTTTTCTTTTTCATTTTCTTCCCTCTTTT